GTAGTTGTAGCAAAGAAAGAATCAATAAAATTAGAAGTAGTAAAGAAAGTTTGATTTAAAAAGTTCAGATTAGAGTTAGTAGTTTAATTAGATTTTAGAAAATGTTTTGAAAAGTTTAAATAAGATTTTTTTTAGTTTAAAATGAACTAGCTTTATGCTGAGATGAGGTAGGCATACAGATATAATGATAAACTTGATTGTTTTTAGTAATATATTTTTCAATAAAATAATAATACTCATTTCTCTTAGTAAAACCAATAAGAACAGAGCATTTTAAACAAGTATAGTAATATATGTTAGATGTAGGAGATGGAGGAACATTATTAGTAAAAGAAAAGATATTAGATATAAAATTTTGGCTTGTTTTGTTAAGTTGTTTGAGGTTACTATTAATATGAACAGTAATAAAATCAGTAGCTTGGATGTGGTCAGTATTGGTAGATGAGATGAATTTAGTTGATATTTGTCACAAAAGCAAGTAATAACAGAAATAGAGAACAGAGTTTTAAAAAAATATGTAATCTTATATCATCTAAGATTTTTTGTTAAGCAGGAAGTTGATTAAATTTTAGAAGAAATTGGACATGCATTATTGCTATTTTCTTTTTTATAAAAAGTGATTTCAAAACTGTTAGATAAGTTTTGATAAAAGTAATCAAGATCTGCAATATCAGACTCTTGATGAGTTAATATAGATATTTTGCAGTATTTGCTAATTAAGTAAGAAAAAAAAGAGAAAATTAAGATTTAGAGAATTTTTCTAAATAACAAATATAATTATAAGTGTTAATTTTGCAAGGATTGTAGATAAAAACAAGGATTGTATTGTAAAAGTATCATTAGAGTAGCACTAAAGTGTAACTTAAGTAATTAGAGTCACTGCCATAACTTAAGTACTGAATACAAATATGATTTGTAATACAAATTACTGTATAATATAAGTAAGAACTAAATATAGTAATAATAGATTGTATTAAATAAGTATCCATAAATAGATTAGTTACAAGATATTAATATAAATTAATAAGATATGAATTTGGAAATGATTGTATGCTTATATAAAAAATGTATAAAGGAAAAAGGTATTAGGTAAGAACAAAAAGTAGAAAAAAAGTTTTGCAAAAAAGCAAATATTAAATTTAATTGTAGTTCAGCCAATATTAGATAAAAAATTTTTGTTTAGAGCTTGTTTTGGCCAAGTAACTGTATACTACAACTTTACTTAAGAGTATAGAACAGATTAAGGCAGTAGAAACTATAAGATAATTAGAATTTTAAAACTGGAAATCAAAGGTTGTCAGTACAGTTTTCTTGATGAATTTAAAATATAGAAGCTTAATATTTGCAAAATATATTTAAAATGATGAGTTGAACAAGTTTACTTAAGAACCTAAGTAGGTTGCTTAGTAAAATAAATAGTTATAAGTGTTTTAGACAGAAGAATTTTTTAGTTAATTTTTGTGCAATGAATTTGCAAAAAGAATTTCCTTAACTCTAATTTTTACTAGCTTTTAAGTTTTATTAGTTTGTAAACATTTTTATTTATTATTAAAATAAATTCTTTGACTTATATAAAAATTTAACTAAAGATATGATTATAGATAATAGTATTATTAAATAACATATTTATAACTAGTAAAAATTATATTAAAGCACTAAGCAATTATTATAATAGACTATTATTTAGTAATATATTAATTAGTATTAATAAAAAAAAATAGTTTAAAACTGATAATAGAACTTGTTTTTGCAAGGTTTGCTAATAATAATTTTTTTAATTATTTTACAATTTTGTTATATATTGATAATATTTATTTATTTCAAATTTTAATATTAATTATTATTATTAAAAATTACTTTATATTATTTAATTTTGCACTTGTGCAATAATATGCCTTTTGATACAAAAATAACAATTGTTTATATAATTATAGTTATCTACTAATAAAGCTTTTAGATACATATAATCTTATACTTGCAAAATCTATTATTAAATTAATACAAATTATTAAACATAAAAATAAATAAATAAATACATTGTTAATATATATATGTTCTAATATTTATAATAACTAATATAAATTTAATTTAAATAAAAGTTATTTAATTTTTAAAGAACATTATTTTTAAAATTATAATCAAATTATTAATTAAACTGATCACTAGATATTTATATAATATAATTTATAGAAAATATTTTATTAAAAAATAGAAACATCAATTAAAAAAATAAAAAATATAAAGATAATTTTATTTATTTTATAATATAAATAATAAATCTAATAATATAACCAAAAAATAAAAAATCTTTTTAACTACTACAAGAATTTATAAAAGTCAATACAAAGTTTTTTAAATTACTAATAGGTAAAAATAAATTTTAATATATTTAATTTATTAAACAAATAGAACATATTAGCAATTTTTAAGTAAAAAATAGATTAAGTTTATAATTATTAAATAGAATTTGGCAAATAAATTTTTATAAAAATCTTATATAATAATATAATTGTATTTATTTTAATACAAAAGAGGCATTAGACAGTGCAAACACTAGATAAGTTCTTGTGACTATGTAAATCTGTTAAAATTGAATAACAAAAAGTCTATTTGAGAAGACCTAAGTAGAGAGATAGCTGGATTTTCAATGGCCTTACTGTAAAAGCTAGACTGAAAAAACAGATACAAAGGTCATAGCACCTGGTTATTGTAATCGGAAAGGCAAGAACCTTTGAGTTGGGAGTTTCAGAGATACCACCAACCAGACTGCCAGAACAAACCAGAGAAAAAGAATATTGGGCTGACTTGATATATCAATAGACTGATTGTAGTCTTATATGGCTATCTGGATTAGAAGTTTGATAAAAAGGCAGGTGAAAAAGCAGTGGTATACTAAAGTACTGAAGTTATGCTGTAAAGTAGATGCTGGGATCTAAGTGAACTCTACAAGAGCATAACAGTTTAATGGTTAGACCTAACCACAAGTGTTGGTTCTGCTATAGTGATACTTAGGTTAGCTGTAAAAATAGATACAGAAGGCTCTGGGGTGTTTATCTTGAGAATAAATTAGTTCTAAGGTTGAGACAATAATCTGGGCATCTGGGTATAACCCAGTAAGTTAATACAGGTTACAGATTCAGAGAGTTTAAAGTAAAACACCCAAGCAGAGGTGTTAGATATAGCAATTGGTAAGAAACCTTTGGGCAGACTCCTTAAATAGGTAATATAGAAAAGTTATATGTGTAGCCAATTGTACTCTTTTCTGTAATGGTTTATTAATCCACAATACTGATAAGTAATTAATAAAAGTCAAAAAACCAAAGAGGTCACCTTAATACCAAAAAAAACAAAAAAACAAAAGAGGTATATTAAATAAAATTATTATATATTTCTTTTAATAATAAACTTTAACTTACAAAAAAATACTATTTAAATAATATTTGTTTTATATATATCAAATATAAATAAAATACTTTAATATTACATTTATATTAATTTATAACATTAACCAAAATAAAATATTACATTTATATTGATTTAAAACATTAACCAAAATAAAATAGTATTATAGTAAAAAAATTTTGTTTGTCACTTATTTCTGTATACAAAAACTATGTAGAACAATATATAGGTATATTTCTTTCATCAGTGAGCAGCCTACATAGTCTTTATGAGTATCAGCTAGTTAAAATAAGCTTTCTATTTTGAATTAATATTATCAATATTCTAATTGTTTCTAGCAGTCATTTTAACTGGCTATCTTATTATCACAACTGTTATTTGAACAGGTCACAATTCAAAAAACTTATATAACTAAATAACCTAACATCTCTACTCTATCTTCAAAAAAAACTGCTGTCTTAGCAGGTCAATCTAATCAAACAAAGTTAATTGGTGAGAAGAGTAGATAGGATCGATATAAACAAAATAAAAGTCAAGTTCACAGAAAAAACAAAATTACCTTATCACATTTTCCCAAACCTTACTAATTAACTACAAACTAATTATCTTATACTTATTCAATTACTATATAATTATCCTATTATTATATAATTACTCAATTACCTTATACTAACCAAAATACTAACTCAATAATTATACTTTAATTAATTAATTACCTTATACTTTTGTTCGATCGATCAATCATTAATCAATTATTGATCAATCATCGATCAAACATGTAATTGTAAATGTTTCTATCACATGTTCAATTGGATAGTATATGATTTAAGACAAAAGCTGCCTCAATACTTATATATCAAGCAGCTATTTTGTTTATCTCACATTTTGTGTACAAAAACTATATAAAACAATATATAGGTTTTCCAAAATATCATTCAAAAACTTGCAATAATCAATAATATTGTACTACTTATAGCACACACCTACTCTAAACTTATATACAATGACTTAACCTGTAAAACTTATTAAAGTTAACACTCCCAATTCAGCTGTCTTTATTGATCTTATATACAATCTAACAGCATCTAAAACCCATCCCCAATGGCTTGAATCTGCTCTAGTGACATTCCACCCTTTATAGTTGCTGTAGCCTCTCTAATTCTTAAACTGTAAGCTGTAAACTTCTTCTTCAAATTTGCATATCTGCTATACACTTAACTACTGCTATAACTGATGACATTAACATTCTTTTTCTTGACTTTAGCAAGAAAAAAGATGCATCATCCTCTGTCTATTGTCTTAACTTCAATACTCAAGTATTTTTCTAACTAGACAATATTTACTATTAGCATCTCTACTAAAACAAACTTTTCATTTGCTAACTAATTCATCTTTGGCTTATTAATTTTTATTTACAGTAACCTGTTCCTTAATTCCAAATTCTTCTTTCTTAACTCACAAAGCTCTCTAGGATGCCTTATTATTCTCTAACCCAAGGTTACTAACACCAAATTACAAGCCCATATCTTATAACTAACATCCTCTGAAGAAAAGTCTAAGTAACACTTTACAACCTTCATAGATAATGGATCTCTAAGTCACTTCACTTCTGCATCCTCAGCTCTAGTTTTTTTCATGCTATTGACAACTGATTGCACTATAGCACTTTTAATAAGATCTTGCAAAACCTTTAATTTATACATCCTTATGATTGCCACTATACATCCTTGCAACTTCACTATATATGTTCAGACATTTTTAACCAAGCCAAAAAAGCTGCTATTGTTGAGTCTAAGGCAAGACATGTTACACACTTTACCTGTCTAGTAAGCTTAATGAAAAGCTTTCATGCCTTGTCTAGCCTTTTTCTATAAACCTTGCTAATTGCATTCTTTGCTAAACTATTTGCATGTCTCAAAAGGTTCTTGACTAGTCCATCTGAATTGTTATCAGTTACAATGTTTGTTGTTGCATAGTTCTGCACAATAAAATGAACTTGGTTGAACAATCTCTATTGATGTTAGCAATTCTATCTTTTTTCTTTCCACTTGCATGATTAAGGGCCACCATTGTGCTGCAACCCAAACTGGAAAAATAATCACTATACTGGTACTATACTCCTTCACATATACTAATAACCAATAAATTAGGCCAAATGGTAATATAAGTAGTTTATACATTCTTTCTAATCTTGTGTGAAACAATCTACTGCTTTTGTATCTGAACAGAGATAAAGACTGTTGAACCTTTTTAGCCTTGTATTTAAATGGCTTACAAATCTGTTCACATTATAAACCCCATTATAGCTGCAATCAATCTACTATCTGCTGCTTCATTTCCCAATTGTTTACATCTACTATTCTTGAAAACTTGTCTGCTGGGTTTTCTTCGCTTGCCACCTATCTCATACAATATATCTATATATCTTTTTTTACACATATCCTTCAAATCTCTCTAGCAATCTTCTTTTGCTATTGCAATACCTCTATTTACTACTGTCTTTTATACTATCTTGTTGTCTATTACTAATGTGACCAAAAAGCCTTTTAGTTGAATTTCAAATGACTGCAAGACTTGAAGAAATGCAATAGCTTTAAGCTAAACTATAACATTCTCTGTTAAATTTCGAGCCCAACTGCTAGCTGCTACTGATTCCTGATACACACCACACCAACCTACAATTGATGCATTTACAAAAACTACTTTACTATTGACAGCTTTTATACAGCATGATCATTTCAAAATTTCAAGTTCTTCACAAGCCAATATACATCTTCTATAGCATGCATCAATAGTATAACCTTCATATCCCAATTATTCCAACAACAGCTTCTTGCATTTATTAGTTTGTAAAATTCTAGACACTTCACCCAGGCTAAAGAAAAAGCCCTTGCCAGACTTTGGATCCTTTCAGCTACTAATGCCAGCTTTTATACCAATACAACTAACTTCTTTAACAAAGCTTTCAGCTGCACAACTATTATGGCAATCTTTTCTTCTGAAGCAATTACTTGTCCCTCTACTGTGTTCACAACTAGGCCACAAAAATTTCAGCTTCTGAATCAGATCCCAACTTTCTTTTTTCTTTGTCTGAATTCAATCACATCCTTTCAAATCCTTTGCTACAATTAAGTCTCTTTAATCTAGCAAGATTTTCTTTGATGAATATGCCATCCATACATTATCTAGATAATTCTCACAGAAAATTTCCTTGATCTTCAACTTTTTATCATCACCTTCATTAATTTGGAGAAAATCCACAGGAACTGATTTAGGCCAAAAGGTAAAACTCAGTAATAAAACACATTTTACTGAAGCAAAAACCTAGAACCTGTTGTGCCACATTGTCTTTCACTACATGATGATAACCTTCCTTCAGATTGAAGGTTAACATTCACCTATTCCTGCCCACAGTTCTCAAAAGCATGCCTATGCCCTTGAACTTTACTATTTTTTTTAAGAGAGTTTTGTTTAACCTCCTAAGGTCTATCACAAGACAAAATTTCTTTGGCCCTTGTTTGGGCACTACAAACACCAGGCTCACCTTAAGCAGCATTTTCAGTCTCAACTTGCCTTAAGATACTAGCTTTATCACATCAGCTTTTCTCAATCTTTTCAACTTGTTCTCTATCCATTATTTCTTTATATTGAAAATGGTTATAATCTTGGTACCTTTTGTGTTCCAAGACTTATAACACCTTTTGAAAAGAGAAGAATTTTGTTTTTCAACTAGTTTATTATTAACAAAGTAGGTTTTATTATCTTTTTCTAATACTTTACTGTCTGTTTCTGAATATAATCTTCCTATAATATATTCCTCATTGCAGCTCACTAACATCTTTCTTTTTTCTTTCAAATTCATTTTCTGAGTATTGTCAGCTTTTTTTTTGACTTAGACCTGTCACCTCAAAAAGGCATACTCAAATGCTTATGAGAATCACATTCATTCATATAATGCTCTATTTCTTTAGATAAGAAACAAACAACTTTCTTTGCTTACTTAAATATTCTGCTTTCACCTAAGCTTAACATAGGCAAAACCTTGTTACTCTACTTTAAATAATCTGGTTCTAAAAGCAGACTCTGCAAAAACCCACTCTGAAATGAAACCTGTTCAGCACTGAAAGGATTTATATCATCAAACTCAAACTCAAAAGCAGGCACTACTACATTTTGCAAATTAGGCACTTGTTGCCAGGTTGGCATCATTGATGAATATGCCTACAAAAAAACAAAAGCAGTAGGCTGTTTCTGTTGTAAGTTCAGTATACAAGCTTGATAACTGCTTTTTTTACTCTCAAATTTCTGACTTCTATTATGATCAACCTTAGGCTTCTTAATCTTTAACAAACTTTGCACTATCAGTCTTGCCTTTTTTCTTTTTCCTCTAAAAAGTTGTGACATTAGATTCAGCAAATCATTTAAAGTCATCTTTGCAACTATGCCCCAACCATCCTTATTCACAACCCTAACCATATATGCTCTTTCCAATGCAATCTGTCTAGCTAACAACAAATAATGAATCTTTTTTGTACTTATTGCCTTGTCTATTAGCATACTAGCCATGCATTACTCATTGAACTTCTACTGATTTCTTACTTTTGACAAGCTACATTTTCTTTACAAATTTGAATTCTCACTTTTACAATTTGACATAATCCTTTTTTTTGTTTTAGAAAACTGCAAAGATTGCTTAAAACTAGATGTTTTCTCTTCCAGATTTTCATTAACAAAATTATTATTATCAGCTATGTACCCATCATTATGAGCATTCAAAAATAGCTCAATATCTTCCATTTTATTTTCTATATTCACAGTCTTTTTTTTTGCAAACAACTCACCAGATAACTTCTCTTTCCTCTTATATTTATTAACCAATCTAACAACCAACTCCTGTTTTAGACCAACATCAGAAATACTCATCCCTTGACACAAAAACTTTAACATTCCAAGAGAAAATCAGCCAAAATTTGCTTTGAAATTGACTTGGCCACATGATGGTTCCACATTACTAGTAGACTGCATTATCTTCTTCTTACTTGATGTTACTTATTCTTATCTGAAATGCTAGTTATACAACCAAACTAATAAAAACAAATACAATTTTCAAAACTGATACTATTAAAATAAAATGAAAATTCCAAACTAAAAATGTTACCAAAATGAAAAGACAAAATTTTCTAAAACCAATAATATTATTATTTGTGCTCGATATAACTAGAATGAAAGTCAGATTTACAAAAAAGACAAAATTATCTTATCAGATTTTTCCAAATCTTACTAATATACTACAAACTAATTACCTCATACTTACTTAATTACTACATAATTATTCTGTTATTACATAATTACTCAATTATCTCATACTAACCAAAATACGAATACAATAGTCATACTTTAATCAATTAATTATCTTATACTTTCATTTAATCGATTGATCATTGATTAAACATATAACAATAAATAGGCCTATCACATGTTAGATCAGATAGTATATGATTTGAGACAAAAGCTGTTTCAATATTTACATATCAAGCAGCTATTAAGTAATATTTATTATAAATATATATATAATACTAACTTTAAGTATTAAATAATTAAAAACTAATTCTGTAACTCTTTTTGTAGATCACTTGTACCAAAATTTGCTAAAAAACATTTAATTATTTCTCAAAATTTACTAAATAAACCTTATTTGTACTCTTAAGTAAAGTTGTTGAGCTCACTTTTCACCATCTAGGCGGCCTAGTTTCAAGTTCCAACAACACTTGGCTACTGAGAAAAGTTTCAAAAACTAATATTTTAGTTTTTGCTCATTTACTACATATTTTACTAAGTTAACATATCTTAATCCTTAGTAGAAAAATATCAAGCACCTCAAGCCAGTCATTTTGATATATATATTATTTTAAACAAACCAAAACTCACCAAGATACATACAAAAAGGTAAAAACTAAAACCTGTCTTTGCAGGTTTTTTCATTGGCATTTTAGGAAAAACTACAGGGGTGCCCAGAAATTTCACTTTTCTGGCACCCATTAAATTTTCCTAAACATCCAATTAGCTCCTACAAATATATTACAATTAACAAATTACTTCTAAATAACCTAATAGCTCTTAAAATTAGATAATTTTTCTTAAAATCAATATTACACAAATAATTTGTACTATCTAAATTTTACATCTATTGTCAAAAAAGATAGTTACACACAATGCCAAGTATTATTACTGTTGAACCCGACTCTTTTGACCTCAATAATTACATTGCCAAACACAGTAACAGTTTCGGCACTGTTACCCATAATAGCAACATTTGAACTCTTAAAGTTCTACCTACTAACTTCAACCCTACATCATGTGACTCTCAAAATAACTTCCATTTTTTTATTAAACCTACTGAACCTGTAATTACCACCTGTCTTTGCAAAAAATATCATACATACTTTGCCTCTTAACATATTACTATCCTAGTACATCCATAATCTACTTCTGAAAACACTTCAAACTCATCCAACTCCATGGAATAGATTTCGATATGAAATTATTTAAGTCTCTCAAAAGTCTTTCAAGATCCAAATTCTAGCCAAAACATGAAATCACTCATCCATTCCCTACCTTCTGTAGTGATATTAGAAAAACCTCTACAATACCTGTTCCTTTCAAACCATACTTACATCATGCACATACTTGCATTATATTTAAAATCAAGAATATACCATGTATTATTCTGAAAGATAGCAAACACTTTCTAGATCCACAAGCCTTAACCTTTGTAACTAGTGAAGGAAGTTTTCCTGCCCATACAAAATGTATTCATTCTCTCAAACTAAAATATCCAACACCTTCAACACCTATGAACTGGAAACAATAAAATCTATACTGTAAAATCAAATGCTGTCAATTATTAGCAGAAGAAAAATGAATACTTTTCAAAAAATTCCTTACAAAATTATCCAAGAAAGCCAAAATCATAAATAACTCTAAAGACAACAAACAAACAAAAACCAACAAAACCCAAAAAAACCTAAATATTAATAATCAAAACAAAATAATAAACAAAAAGAAAAAAAAACTACTCAAAAACATGATACAACTAATGATCTTGACTGGTTTCTAAACTATCCTATTACTCTTAAAATGCAACAACATAGTAAATTGAGTACACCACTAGCTTTACAAGTTTTCTCACTTCTAAAATCACTTCTTGTAAACTTCAATCTAGGTCAACTAATTTCAACTGAAACAACTGACACAAAACCAAATAACAGACCTCCTGCTAAATATTCATTTAGCTATATACTTAACAAAATGGCTAGCAGCAAACCC